CACTTACATAGCAAGCCTGTTTAACAAAATATATACCAAACAAACTCGGAAGTACCACACCTAATACTTATCCATTCCACAAACTAGATGGTAGTCTCGGTGCGGGCAGGGACTGAATTTGTGCATCTCTAGAGCTTAGCAGGTTCATGACTCATGGTAAGCACTAAATACACATCTACTGAGCCAACACATGAATGAGTAAGCTTAACTAGCATTTATTAAGCACTTACTATGTGCCAGACACTGCTTTAAACATTTTACTTGAATTTGTTTAAATCTCAAACCAGTCTTGCAAGGTAAGTATAATTACTTTCCCCATTTACAGACAATGCACAGAGTTAATTAACTTGCCTAAGGTCAGCAACGGCTAGCAAGGGGCTAAGGCAGGATCCAAGCCCAGGTAGTCTGGCTCCAGAGCCTGTGATCTTGGGCACCCACTGTGTGCCAGGCATATTGCCAGGCTCAGGGAGAGAAATAAAAGACCAAACATACACTCTCCTTCAAGGAGGTCACAGTAAAGAATGGAGATGAATAACTAACAATAATGTGATATGCTGTGACAAGAGAAAACAGTGTGGAGATAGGAGTGGCTGGGGATATGGCTGTCTGCAGAGGGGCCACCTGACCTCAGCTAAGTTCACTAGTAAGTAATATCCAAGTTGGGGGAAGGGAAGTGCATTAGGACCACAGGAACAGTATGTGCAAAGTCATGGAGTATGGTTGGTCTGAGAACAGAACAGTTGTGGAGGCTGGCACATAGGAGTACAGGGAAGAACAGTACGAAATGAGACTAGAAAGCTAGAAGCCAGATCCAGATCTTGGGAAGCTTTATGTGCTGAGTGAGGGACAGAGTTGGGACACTCCTTGGAGGCCTTGCAGGATTTTAAGCAAGGGTGTTATAAGCTCAGACCCGACACTCTGTCCACTCCCAACCCACAGGACACTAAACCTAATACTCAGAATTCCCTAAAAGCCACATCCCTCCCCAGAGTGTTCCCTGGGAGGCCTAGACCCAGAGGGAAATGCACTTTGAGTCTGGGACACACCCAGTGCCACCTGGGAGCAGTGGCTGGAAAGCCCCCCCATCCCCATTCCTGCTGTGGCTCCCCACTCCCACCCCAGCATGGCCACTTCAGGCCCACTCCCTCCTGTCACATTCCCCCTTGAGGGTGAGGCCTTCCTACATCCCTTCCCTGCCCACCCTCTGACTCCATCATCTTAATCAGCTACAGAGCCTGGCACATCCTAGGCCCCAGTCAGAGGAAGGAGAATACGGACACCGGAGCTTCCTGGGGGAGCTGTGGCTCTGGGCTGTACCCTCCCCTCCACAGGGCTGAGGCTGGTGATTAGCTGGGTTAATTATATCCAAGCCATTTCCGATTGGCACAAGCCCACCCACCCACAGAGCCTGTCCAGAGGCTGTGCAGGCCCAGCCAGAGTCAGGATGCCAGGGCACCAGCTACCCTGGGAGGGGTCCTAACCTCTGCAATGGCCAAATGGAGAGTGGTTGCCCCCCACCCCCAC